AACCACACCCCCCATACCCCCCTGGAATCCCCCTCCCCCCCTCAACTACCCCCCCCGGCCTTCCCCCCTCCACTGCCCAGCACCATCCACACCCTCAGGCATTCCTTGCCCTGCCCCCAGCATCGTTCAACCCCCCTCCCCGGCCCACCCACCGCGCCCACGGGAACAAAACCACCCGGCTCTCAGCCCCTTGGTTCCAAGAACTCGTTTCCTTTATTGTTTGAATTTCGCGATTGTAACTCAACAATAGTTGCCATTTTTTTTGTATTTTTTTGTTCTTTTTTTTTTTAAATGATCTGCATCATCATTATTGTTATAATTCTTTTGTTGTCTTTTGTTCTGTTTAATGCACTCGACCCACGGGAACAAAACCACCCGGCTCTCAGCCCCTTGGTTCCAAGAACTCGTTTCCTTTATTGTTTGAATTTCGCGATTGTAACTCAACAATAGTTGCCATTTTTTTTGTATTTTTTTGTTCTTTTTTTTTTTAAATGATCTGCATCATCATTATTGTTATAATTCTTTTGTTGTCTTTTGTTCTGTTTAATGCACTCGACCCAAAATTGGTTTGGCATATTGAATAGAGGAAGGACGGAGCAACGGAATTCCAAGGGAGAGACGAAGAGAGCAGGGAAGAAACAAAGGGAAGAAGGAACGAGAAAGCGCAGACAGGCATTCGGCACAGGCCCTAGCGCACCAAGGAAACCGAATTCCCCAGGGGAAGTACTTGCCCTTAGTGTGCAGCCCTGAGGATCTCACTGGCCCATGTTTTGGGGTGACGCGGGGGGCGGGGCGAGGTCACGTCTAAAGGCACAGGGACTCGTCTGGTGTTTCCAGCCAGCCAGGAAGCGCTGTGGCTCCAGGCAGGGTGGCAATGGGAACTGGGGCTGGGCAATTGGAGGAGGCACTGGGCTAGGTGCTCTTGCCAGCTTTGCCCTACTGGGTCACCTTGGGCAAGTCACCACCCTGCTCTGTGCCTCGGTTTCCCTTCCCCGCTGCTTGGCTGTTTAGCGAGTCAGGTCCTTGAGGTGTGTGTGTGGGTCCTGTTGAAGGTTTGCGTGGTGCCTGGCACAACGGGGGCCCCGATCTCAGTTGGGCTGCCGTAGATTTGATGCTCATTATTTGGTATTTGCGTGGCCCTACTCACCACCAAGTGGTGCTGCAGGCACCCTATCCGCTGGACAGGTCCCTCCCCCTCTGTGGCTGCCATGGACGGCCAATCCCAAGACCCAGGCTATGTCTAGACTGCAGGCTTCTTTCGGAAGAACCTTTTTGCAGAAGAGAGCTTCAGAAAAAACTTCTTCCAAAAGAGAGAAAGCACAAAAAAAAAGCAATCTTTTCAAAAGATCGTGTCCACACTCAATGGACGCTTTCTCGCATGTAAGCTATGATGACTATGGACGGAGTGGCCACCAGGGCACCTGTGCTTTTTCCTCTTTCCTCTTCTTCTGAAAGAACTCCCTCTTCCCCATCCACACACAGCTGTTTCTGAAAGAGCTCTTTCGGAAAAAGGCTTCTTCCTCGTAGGAAGAGGATTACCAACGCCGGAAAAACCCCTCTGTTCTTTCGATTTACTTTTGGAAGAATGTGCTTGCAGTGTGAACGTAACTCAGGTTTTTCCGACAAAACTCTGTAGTGTAGACATACCGGCAGTTGCCAAGCTAGCAGCGCTATGCTGCAGGCACCTACTGGGCAGCTAGCGGGGATGCCGCTTCCTCTCCAGCTAACCGCAGCCCATGAGAAGGGGTAACATGATGGGGGTTGGGCCAAAGAGGGGTGTGACGGGAAAGGGGGGAGCTAAACCCACTGAACTTGGCACAGGGATCATGTGCTCATGAGGGCAACCTTTTACTAGCTCCCAGCTGGGAGCGCTGTACCCTCAGTTCAAGGTGGGGCGGGGGTACCAGAAGGGCCCCAGATTGGCCCCCATGGGTGCCTGGCCATGTGGTGCAACTAAATACCCCTCCCACTCCTGCATGCCATCTCCTGGTGGGGGGAGGTTTGGAGAAGCCTTGCCCAGAGGCAATGGCATCTCTCTCAACCCTGCTGCAATGCAGTGGTGCCTGCACCACTGCCCCCTACTGGGGATGTAGAATTTGCACAGGTGGCTTTGGGCTCAGCAGGTGGTGGGTTCTAATCCGTGCTATGGCTGGTGGGGCTGTGGATTCTGTCGGGCTCCAGCTGCCCCATCCCAGCTTGGCCCATGACCCCATGGGAAACTGAATCACCAAATAAGCACATCTTCCTAGCCATTGGCTAGCAGTTAGCCAATCACAGAGGAGATCTTTCACCGGAAGGAGGAGCCCCAGACTTCTCATTGGTGGGTGGAGCTGGAAGCTGATTGGAGAGTTTGAAGCTCTGCCTTCCAAATAAATAGAGGTATTTGAGGGGATGGCTCTGGGAAGCTCATTCGGTGCTGGGGAGGTCTGCAGAGCCCCCTCCCCCCCGCTTCTCTGCCCAAAATGTGCTACATGAGCCTGGGGTGGTTCTGTGGCTCTCTGGGTTCAACTGCAGCAGAGGGCTGGGGAGGGGGTTTGGAGCACGGGTGGAGGGGACAGGATGGACGGAGAGGAGAGGAGGGAGGGATCCTGCCCCTGCATTAAGGGGGCTGGAGCTGGGAGTTTGCTGAATCCCCAAGTTTTGGGGGGGGGAGAGCTCCCCGCGCCTGGGACCAGCAGGAGAGGGAGATCAAAAGGCCGTGGACACCCCTTGAACTGGGCCGAGAGATTCCCCCGCACAGTGAGTGTCCGGCAGGAGCTACCACCCATGAATTCTAAGGCTGGCGGGTGTGGGGCCTACGGGGAGAGGTGAGGAGGCTGCTGAAGGGAGGTCACCCCCAAAGATCCACCTCTCGTACGCCCGCGCCTGGGACCAGCAGGAGAGGGAGATCAAAAGGCCGTGGACACCCCTTGAACTGGGCCGAGAGATTCCCCCGCACAGTGAGTGTCCGGCAGGAGCTACCACCCATGAATTCTAAGGCTGGCGGGTGTGGGGCCTACGGGGAGAGGTGAGGAGGCTGCTGAAGGGAGGTCACCCCCAAAGATCCACCTCTCGTACGCTGCCCCCATCTCCCTGGGAAGGGCTAAATGCCCCCCCCCCCCCACCAGAGCGCTGCTGGCATCACTGGGACTTCGGCCAGAGACGTCACCCCAGAGCGCCTGCTCCCCCGGGCCCCATGGCAGATAAATGCCACTGAGGGTCAGCAGGGAGCTGTTAAAGTCCCTGCCCGCCACTAGGGGGCGATGTGGTGACATGCACTGAGCTGGGGAATTGCAGGAGCCCTACTGAAAGAGGCCCCCAGGTACAGCCCCACCCAGGGATGGGGAGCTGGGGCCACCCCCCACGAGCAGCCAAGGGTCCCCCAGGCATCAGAAAAACCTAAAGAAGGGGGGAGGGGAGGTACTGAGTTGCTTCCAGGGCTGGATAGGAAGCCATGTTAGTCATCCTCACAGAAAATACAACGGCACCCCTGGCATCCCACCCCTCCCCGCACGGAGACAGGACTATTCCCCAGTGATACCCAGCCGCTGGGAGCCTTCGCGCGGAGACAGGACTGAACCCCCGCGACACACCAACCCTGGGAACCTCCTTCCCCGCACTGACACAAGCCCCCTGCAGCACCCCAGCCCTGGGCCTCCCTGTACCAACACTCAACTGTGACCCCTGCAACACACCAGCCCTCAGACACCCCCTCCCTGCCATAGACACACAACGTCATCCCTTGCAATAACCAGTCTTGTCTTGTCCCCTCGCACGGACACACGACTGCACCCCCTGTGATTCCCCAGTCCTGTCCCCTCGCATGGACACACGACTGCACCCTCTGTGATTCCCCAGTCCTGGGACCTTCCCCCTGCACCAACACATGACTGCACCCCTTGGAACATCCTGCATGGAGACAGAGAACAGTGACTCTGGGCCTGGGCTCTCTGGAGAGGGCACGTTAGGGGCCCATCACTGCCCTGTCTGGGCTCCTGCCCACAAATAGCTTTCAGCTCTGTGGCAGGGAAGCCCTTTGGCCAGAGCAGCTCTGAGCCCCTGGCCGCTAGCCCGGCGTGTGCCCCTCCTGGAGGGCAGCAGTGTGCACTGGGGCGATCAAAGCTGGGGTCATGCAGTAATTCAGCCGCTGCTAAGGGAGCTCAGTTCCAAGGCACCCAGCACTGGGCTGTGCTCCTCTCACCCTCGCGATAACCTGCCAACCCGAGGCCCATTGGCAGCTCCTGGGCCCGCCAGGCCCTCGCTCCGATGGGTCTGTCTTTGGTTTTGGGGCGGGCGAGGCTTGCCGAGGGCTGCTCCTTGGAGGAGGAGCAGGGAGGTGCAGCCGGGAGGGAATAAGGCTGTTCGGTTTGCCTGGTTGTGGGGCGGGGGTTTAAGCCGAGGAATTTCCAACCCCCCAAACCGGCAGTGCAGAGTTCACCCCTCCCCCCGAACGGATCCAGCCACTGAACCCAAGAGAGCAGCATCCCACGGAGCCAAGCTCAGCAGCGACACGGCCGCCAGCCAATGCCCCCAGGAAAACAACCTGCTGCTTCAACAGCCCCCGGCACCTGGAAAACCCACCGGCCACCAGGGCTGAGCCCGGCCCAGCTCCTGGCCTCACTGCACGCGTGAGAGGGAAGGGCAGATGCGTGATCCCAGGGGAAGGCAGGAATGTCCCGGAGCTGTACAGGGGAGGTAGCATAGGCCTGGGGTTGGAACTAGAGTCCAGGCCGGCTCCCAGCTGCAGGGGACGGGGAGGGGGGAGAAATTGATGGGGCAGTTCCCATTGGGGGATAACTCTTCTCAGTGCAATGGAAGCCGGAGCTGGCCTCAGGCCAAGGCCCAGGTGGGCAGGAGAAGCTGTGTGGTGTCGTCCCAGGAGTGCAGAGGCACTGTGCAGAAGTGCCCCTATTCCAGCCCCTCGGCTCCCGCTCTGCTGAGCCCAGGGCTCCGGCTGGGCATGGAACAAAAGGAAGCAGCGGGGGCTGGGGCATGAGCCGGCTCAGTAATCGGTTGCTGAATAAAACACTCAAATATCTCAGGCAGCTCCATGGACTCTAGGGCAAGTTGCAGTATTTGGGGGAGGGGGGAGGGGTTCGTGACTTGGCCTACAGCTCCAGTGGAGACACTGAAGCAGCCCCTGGTGTCCCAGTTTCCCGAACCCCCTGAATGTCACGGGCACTCAGATCTCAGCAATGGCTCTGGGGGGTCAAGGGGTGGGTGCTCTGCATGGGGGCAGGGCAATGACATTGCTGGACGGTCCATCTACCCCCACTGAAGACTAGAGATGGAAAGAGTCTTTCAGGGCCTATCCAGCCCTGTGCTGGCCTAGTGTCTGGCCAGGGCAACACTGTAAAATCACCCACTTTTCACCTCCTCCCTACTGTGCAATGCAGGCAGTTACTGGTCACTATGAGTAGAAGCTTGAATTTCCTCATTGCCCCAAGCTCCTTAGCTACGTGCCCAGCAGGGTATCAGTAAGCACAGCTACATGGACACCAATGGAGGAACATCTAACCGTGCCAGCAAGGGATCCTGCCCCTGATGTCTCCACGCTTCAATCTAATTTCTAAGTTTCTAAATCCAAGCTGATGAAGCCCAGGACACTCCTAAAGCGTCCATGATCTCTCACACCGAGGCCGGCAGAAAAGGAACCAGAAAGCAAAACCCTTCTCCGCTCCATGAATCCAAACCACATGCCCACCTGCCCCTTCAACTCAACCCCGTCAAATGCCTTCCAGCCAAGAGGGATGCAAGGAAATAACCATCGACTTAAAAACCCCTGACACCCAACAGCTCCAGACAGAAAAAAGCAAAATAAACCTCAAACAATTTTCCTAACCTACAGTTACAGCATCTTTGGGTCTTACAGTAATTTTTTACCCACAATTCCACAGTGGCAGTGAGTGAGAAAATGACCGATTCATGTCAAGATGTATGAAAAAAGTACCCTATCCAGCAGGAAAAGGGAATGTTGAGAAAGTCACAGAAATGACGCATTATATGTATATATTACATAAAAATTGTGCCAAAAAGTTATTTTTTTCTTTTTTTGTTTTGATTGTAAAAATCTGCTCTTAGTTTTTGTGATCCCTTCCCTTGTCTTCATCAAAAGTGGAGGGGGTCTCCTTGTTCCCTTCACCTGCCCCCCGAACAGTCAATGGGGCTGGAGCAGAGCTCAGTATATATCTATATGTCTACAGAGATATAGATATATATTTTAAATCCAGGACACAAGCTGTTCCCTGGGACTGTGGTTGATTGGTTGTATTTTGTTTTAAATCCCCATTTCATTTTTCAAGGGATTATTCACTTCCCCTTTTTTGTTTGCTTGAAATTTCATATTTACAGCATTTCAATCTCTATCCCTGCCCGCCTCCCTCGAATTAACCAGCCCACCCTAAGCCCCACCCCCCCAGCGAAATGATGTCTTCATGTGATATTGGCTCCCATGGTCTCTCTCGGGAAGAAGAGGGTGAGAGAATTCAGAGTTGTGCTTGAAAAGGGAGAAATTTTTGTTTTTTGTTGTTTTGTCCTTTGAAAGAAAGACAAAAAAAAGTGCCATTTGGGTTTCTGTTGTTCTTTTGCTCAAAGATGATCCAGCTTATTTTTGGGGGGAAACGGTTCAAGTGTCAAAGAGTCCCCCCAAATTCTCCCCCCCTCGCATCTTGACCCAAATGGGTTCAGACAGCTGCTCCGATGAGGCACCTGACTTCTGCATGTCTTCAGAGGAGGAAATAAAAGCAGAGCAGGAAACCACAGACGGGGAAGAGCTGCAGGAGTTTCCAAACTTCCCTCCGAGCCGTAGGAAAATGGTACGTGCATCTTGACAGAAGTGGCAGCAGAAAGTGGGGACCGTGGATTCAACAATTACACCGACAGCCCGGGAAACACCCCCTCTGCTCCCGGCTTCCTCCACCAGCTCCCAGAGCAGGGCTTTGTTTGATTTCTGCGCCGGGAAGACGGGGGAAGGCCCCCAGCAAAGGAAAACAAAAACCCAAAGCAAGGACGGCCACCTCAATGCCACTTCCTCCTCCTCTGAGGCTGAGAAGGCTTTTGAAAGAAAAAAAAAAGTGCCTCTCCCCATGTCTCCTGCAGACTTTGCTGATGGTTTGGCATAAAAAAGAACGGAACTCAAATCCCTGTCGATGAATGACTTTAAGAGTCCCTTCCCCACCATGCCTCAGTTTCCCCCTGGCTGACAAATACTGGAAGGTCAGCACCGGATTCAACATAATCTCTATCCAGACCCAAAAAAACCCCACCCCCACCTCTCTCTCTAGATATAGCTCTCTCTTTATAGCTCTCTATATATCTATACATATATATTTTTTTTGGCAAAGTTCGTATAGAAGAAAGTGGAGGCCATTAGAAGATGCTCCACCTGCCCTTCTCTCTCCTGACCAATCGGATCCCTGTTTGCCATTGCCAAGGTGCACATGTGGGGGAGCCGGGATGGCCTAGACGTGGGTGCCGGTGTGTGTATCTGGGGGCGTTCTCGGCCTCTGAGACAGGCCCAGTCGGCCCTTTCTCCACGGTTCTGATCTGTTTTTAACACACGTTCCAAAGAAAGTTGGTTTCCCTGCTCTGCTTCTTTGTGATCTTTTGTCCCCACAAAACAAACATAAAAAAACCAAACCCAAACTGAAGAGGCATGACCTTAAAACGCTAAAAAAAGCGAGATCCTGTTGTCCGGCCAGTGTGTTTTTCATTCCTTCCTTCCCACCCCTCCTCCCTCTTTACTTCCAAAACAAAAGCAGGAACGCCCCATTTTCCTCCTCCCGTCTCCACCAGGTGGGCAGGAGGAAGAGAACCGACACGGCCACACTTCCCGGAGGGGATTAACACCGGCCCTTTCCGGCACATCTCCTCTTTCCCGTCCTGTGTCCTTCTCCAGCTCCCCACCCTTCTCTCTCTCAGCATCCCAGGGCAAAAATTAAAAACTCCAGGCCATGGCCCGAGGGGAGGGGCTCCTTTTGGCGAAGGTGGGATGAGGTGGGGGCAGAGGCGGCAGCTCGGGGCGGCTCCTCAGTCCGCTCCTAGCCTTCAGAGGCTGGGGACCAGCTGCATTTGACCGTCTCCCTCTGGCACTGGGCCCTCTAAGCCGGCTTGAACCAAGTAGCCGTCAGTGCTAGGTCTCCGGACCTGGTAGTAGGCTTGGAGCTGGCTGCGGGGCACCAAGGCGGGCCGGTTGGTGTAGTAGATTTCATTGATGGCTTGGGCGTGAGGGAGGATTTCCCCAACCGCCTCGGGGCTGCTGTCCGGGTAAGGGGAGTCTCTCAGGTTGGTCATACTGGTGTACAAGGAGTCCCTGTTGGGGGAAGGGGCCTGGCCGTCTCCGCCCTCGGTCAGATCGGCCGTGCAGCTCTCCGACTCCTCGAGGTCGCTCTGGTAGAGGATGGACTGAGCCCGTTGCAGCAGCAGCGGCTCCTCCAGGGCCTTGTACATGAGTTCGATCTCCAGGTTCTCCTCGTGGCTCAGGGCCGGGGCCTCGGGCGCCGCTGCCTCCTCCTCCCCGCCCCCGCTGCCACCGGAGGGGGCGGGCGGCCCCGAGGGGGTGCTGGTCTGGGCCGGGCCCAGGCCCACCGCAGGGGGCA